TTTATGTATTATGTCATTTGAAATACACAACTAATAACAAATATACATGTAGCTGGGTGTATCTTTTCAATATATGATAAAATACGTAATTATTTGAAAAATATAAATATAACTAATATTATATATACCATTTCAAAATAAATGAATTGTTAAATCTTTTTTTTGTAATTCAAAATAAGTGAATTGTTCGAAGTTCAAAAGAGTCAGGTTGGAAGTTTTTCCAATCATGGGCATGCCAAATTCATGGCACTATAAAAATGGAAGGGGTTTGTGCTAAGACTTAGCCATCAACTCCACACTCTTTGGAAAAGAGAAAGTCTCTCTCATCTCCTTTGTCTTTTTTCTTTTTTTCTTTTCATAATAAATAAATCTGCTCAATTCCTCTTAAATTTTAAAAAAAAATTATTGTGCAGATTCAACTTTCTCCAGCATTCAGGTTTCTCTCTTCCCCCTCCCCCTCTATATAAGGTCACAAAAATATATCGTATATATAAGTTATGTTTAGTATAAGAACAAATCTTTTTTTAGAAAATTACAAAATTTTAACTTATTTTCTAGTATTTAGTAAGTAAGCAAAAGAATATTATTCAAGAATATATTAATATGTAAACTAGCAAAACATTATAGAGATGAAATGAGGTGGGAAAGTGGGGGTCCGGGAGTGACAGGGAACGAGATGGTCAAAGGGTGGGGTTCTGATCGTTGGATGAATGAGGAAGAAAACTTAAAACCTTGCTTATGAAATTTATTTTTTCTATTTTCATTAGAGAAGTAGTGTCAACCACTCTCATATTGTTAGAAATTATTCCCTCCGTCAATCGAATTTATGTGATGATGGCTAACACGAAAAATAAGAAAGAGAGACTTTTAAAGAAAGAATAAATCATAAATATCTATATGACTAGATAAAATAAATATTTTAAACTTAAATTATTATATATATAATGTTAAATGTCCATTAATTTTTTGTATGTTTACTTATTTGATCGGTTTACAAAATGCAAACTAAGAAGTTTAAAGTTAAATTATTTTTAAAAAATATTTTTTTTTTGGACTAACTAAAAAAGAAAGAGTGTCACATAAATTGAAACAAATAGAGTACTATATATAGAAAAAAATTTTCCTGAAATTGACTAAAAATAAAATAATGACACAAAAATTGGGACAAATGGTAAAAAAAAAAAACAGAATAATAATATTTACAATTATTTTGCACGTCATGAAATTGAATTTGCTTAGTAAAGACAAAAAGAACTTACGATAAATACACCATATGTTATTTACTCGTTTGCCCCTGCTTTTTCCTTAAGTCTATAATTACATGTGTTTTTTTATATTAAGAAACCAAAATTGTTTAGGATTAGATATTAGTTTGTTAATTTATTTGATCCATAACTCACTAGGATTTGCCTAAAAATAGGAAATATGTTTTCCAATACCTAGTCAAACTAGGTTTCGTACTATTATAAATAGAGTCATTATATTACTAGCTAAATTCATTTAGTAAAAAAGCATACTAAACAATTTATCGTAGTTTTATGAAATAAATATCTTCCTTCGTTTATTTTTCTTGAATAGTGTTTCAATAGAGTCTTGCTAACATCAAGAAAACATATTGTGATTTATAGAAGACGTTTTTATTAAATCTTGAATCTGTCTCTGACAGTGACGAACAATTTTACAACAATGGCATGTCCAAAACCTATGAAAGCTACATCTAATGGAATATTCCAAGGAGATAATCCATTGGACTATGCACTTCCTCTTGCGATTGTACAAATATGTTTGGTGCTTGTACTTACTCGAGTCCTCGCCTATATTCTCCGTCCTCTAAGACAACCCCGCGTCATTGCTGAGATTATTGTAAGTTCCTTTCTCTCCTTTTATACTATCAGTGTATTTTAACTTGTCGTAGAAATATTCAACTTGCCTTAATAGAAATAGTTAAGTGTATAGAAGTAACATTACTTGCTAGTGCACTTTGTTTGTCTGAATATGTTTTGGTTGTTATAGCGAGATGTTACGTTGTTACAAAGAATATGTCATGTAATGTAACATGGAAAATCAGTTCAAAAATTATTTGGACGTTATGCTGAAATATTGTTATAGAGAAGTCTGATTGTAGATTGATCTTGATTTTGGCAGGGAGGGATTCTACTTGGTCCATCTGCACTTGGCAGGAACCTGAAGTATCTCAATGCAATATTTCCACCAAAGAGCCTCACAGTGTTGGATACTTTAGCAAACTTTGGCCTTCTCTTCTTTCTTTTCCTTGTTGGGCTCGAGTTAGATCCAAGGTCTCTTCGTCGTACTGGAAAGAAAGCTCTTAGTATCGCCCTCGCGGGGATTAGCCTCCCTTTTGGATTAGGAGTAGGGACTTCATTCATTCTTAGAGGAACTATTGCTAAAGGTGTTAGTCAAGGCCCTTTTCTTGTCTTCATGGGAGTAGCTCTTTCTATCACTGCCTTCCCTGTGTTGGCGCGGATTCTAGCTGAGTTAAAGCTCTTAACGACTGATGTTGGTCGAATGGCCATGTCTGCTGCAGCCGTGAAAGATGTGGCTGCTTGGATTCTACTTGCACTTGCTATTGCCCTTTCAGGTACTGGTCATTCACCCCTTATTTCACTATGGGTACTTTTGTGTGGGACGGGATTTGTCCTGCTTTGCATAGTCATTGTTCCTCTGATATTCAACTGGATGGCTAAACGTTGTCCTGAGGGTGAGCCGGTTGATGAGTTATACATCTGTGCTACACTTGGAGCCGTGCTGGTTGCAGGATTCGTTACTGATGCAATTGGTATTCATGCCTTATTCGGGGCTTTTGTGCTTGGAATTCTTGTACCAAAGGAAGGGCCTTTTTCTGCTGCTCTGGTGGAAAAAGTTGAGGATCTTGTTTCTGGTTTATTCCTTCCATTGTACTTTGTCTCCAGTGGACTGAAGACGAATGTAGCTACTATTCAAGGGGCACAATCATGGGGTCTTCTTGGTTTAGTCATATTCACATCGTGTTTTGGAAAGATCGTTGGCACTTTTTTGGTCTCGCTATTGTGCAAAATGCCTGTTCAGGAGGCTGTTACGCTTGGTTTCTTGATGAACACTAAAGGTCTAGTGGAGCTTATTGTCCTCAACATTGGAAAAGATAGAGGGGTACGTTTCATTTAGATCGACTAAAGTACTTTTTATCGGTTTTGAATTTACTTTTTGTAAGCTTACATTGTTTCGAATGTTCTATCTTGCAGGTACTGAATGATCAAACATTTGCCATCATGGTTCTGATGGCACTCTTCACAACGTTCATCACGAGCCCTATAGTGGTATCCGTGTATAAGCCAGCTAAACTGGCTATAACCAAGTACAAGAACAGAACGATTGAGAGGAAAGACACGAGCAAACAACTCCGAATCATGACCTGTTTCCATAGCAAGAAGAACATTCCCACAATGATCAATCTCATGGAGGCTTCTCGAGGTACTGCAAAGAAAGAAGGACTCCGCGTCTATGCAATGCATCTTATGGAGTTGTCTGAAAGATCTTCAGCAATTCTGATGGTCCACAAGGCTAGAAAAAACGGAATGCCCTTTTGGACAAAGGGAGGGGTATCGGATTCTAATCAAATTGTTGTTGCTTTCGAGATGTTTGAGAATCTCAGCAAGGTGTCTATCCGACCTACAACTGCAATCTCTCCGATGAATACCATGCACGAGGACATCATTGCTGGTGCTGAGAGAAAGAGGGTCGAAATGATAATTCTCCCGTTCCATAAGCATCAGAAGATTGATGGACATTTGGAAACAACGAGAGCTGATCTTAGGCATGTGAACCGGAGAGTTCTTCAGTACGCACCTTGTTCAGTTGGTATCTTGGTAGACCGAGGATTTGGTGGTGCATCTCATGTATCTGCTAGCAATGTTGATTTCAAAGTAACCATCTTGTTCTTCGGGGGTCATGATGATCGCGAAGCACTTGCTTATGGAATGCATATGGCAGAGCACCCTGGCATTAACTTACTCGTGGTTCGTTTCCTAGTAGACCCTGAGGTTGCTGGAGGGAGTGTCACGTTAGATATGGACCAAATTATAGCACCGAGGCTCAATCCAAGGATGAAGAGTTGCTTACCAACTTAAAACACAAACTTTCTAAGAACAGCTCGATCAAATATGAAGAGAAGTTAGTAAAGGACGCTGCAGGGACTACAGAATTAATTCGTGCATATAACCGATGCAATCTGTTTCTTGTGGGAAGAATATCTGAGGGTGAAGTTGCAGCAGCATTGGATAAAAAGAGTGATTGTCCAGAATTAGGTCCTTTAGGTAACTTGTTAACTTGTCCCGAATTTTCAACTACAGCATCAGTTTTGGTGGTGCAACAGTATCGAAACGAGTTATCTCAAGATTCAATCAATTCCTTGAAGGATGGAGAGTTAACAGAAGGAGATAGTGATTCAAACTAAAAAGTACTAAGTAGTTTCAAATGTTCGAGTTATGTAGATAGTAAGTGAAAATACTGTTGATTCTCTTAAACATAGGAAAAAGTAGTAGTCACAATTAGTTTGTACTCCTAACATATTTAGAGTTTGTTCATTTCCCTTGTTTTTCCTTCTGCTCTTTTTGTTATACATGTTGTTCGGAATTTCTAAAAATTTTATCACATCCGTATCGAAACTTCATAAAATACTCTACTTTTGTTTTCAAGATGGTCACAATTATCTCTTCTTTACAAATGTAGCCAAACAATCAATACGAAAATAATAATCAAGATAACTAATCTCACAATTAGCTAAGATCTTATATCAAATATTAAATAAAATTAATCTCAAATTTTATCGCGAAATTATTAACATTACCTCAACTATTAAACGAGTGAAAAGTTAATGGAAGGCTTGTGTTATATCACAGTCCTTTAACACACATTTCCCCATATTTCTCTCTCTGTATATATATATTTTTCTCTCTCTCTAAAACTCTCATTTCTTCTTCTCTAAATTTCTGGGCCTGCAAAAAAGAATTTTTATTTTCGAAATGCGGATTTTCTCCCCTTTCAACTTTTTCCAAACTCTCCGGCATTCAGGTTTCTCTCTCTTCCCCTTTCTCTCTCTATATATAAGAAGGAAATGAGCGCAACGATTTCGTTGTGGTGGCGTTGGGTGGATGACGAATCGTTTCAACGGAAAATTATACAGTATTGACCATAAAAATTATTCATTTTTTTTCGAAATAAGTTTTGACTATTTTGAATAGTGCGCCTTGATCGTGTTTAATTGTGAAATTTGAAAATAAAAAAAAAATAGACAGACACGTGTCGTGTGCAACTTACGTAGCATCTTGCATGTATTATGCAATTTGGTAGGACGTGTATGACTACTTGTTTAACATTATATAAGTTTAAGTGTTTACTTGTGCACATCCAAAATCGAAGGACATAGAGGGAAGCTGAGGCTTAGTTAAATGACATGTTTATGCATTATGCCAAAAGAAAAAACAACACATAATCTAATTTTTGGATTCTACATTGATTTTGTGTGCAGATATTGACAAATGATATAGATTATGATGTTTTCTGATTGATCTGAGTTTGTTTTCTTCAAGCTCAAACATGGCTTCAACTACAACAACAAAATGTCCATCACCTATGAAAGCTACATCTAATGGAGTATTCCAAGGGGATAGTCCATTGGACTATGCACTTCCACTTGCCATTGTACAAATATGTTTGGTGCTTGTACTCACTCGAGTCCTCGCCTTTATTCTCAGTCCTCTAAGACAGCCTCGTGTCATTGCTGAGATTATCGTAAGTCTTTCTCCCGTTTTACACTATCAGTGTACAGTCAAACCTCTTTATAACAGTGTCGTTTGTTTGGATATGTTTTGGTTGCTATAGCAAGATGGTGTTATAGAGAACATAGAAAATAACATAAAATGAAAGCCGATTCCAAAAGATCAAACTAGGCCGTTATAGTGAAATGTTGTTATGAAGGATGACTGCTATAGAGAGGTTTGACTGTAAATTGATCTCTATTTTGGCAGGGAGGAATTCTACTCGGTCCATCTGCACTTGGTCGGAACCAGAAGTATCTGAATGCAATATTTCCACCAAGGAGCCTCACAGTATTAGATACTTTGGCAAACCTTGGCCTCCTCTTCTTTCTTTTCCTTGTTGGGATCGAGTTAGATCCAGGGTCTCTTCGTCGTACTGGAAAGAAAGCTCTTATTATTGCCCTTGCTGGAATTAGCCTCCCTTTCACATTAGGAATAGGCACATCATGTGTTCTTAGAGGAACTATTGCTAAAGGAGTTAGCCAAGGCCCTTTTCTAATCTTTATGGGAATATCCCTTTCCATCACCGCCTTCCCTGTCTTGGCTCGGATCCTGGCTGAACTCAAGCTTTTAACGACTGATGTTGGTCAAATGGCCATGTCTGCTGCAGCAATCAATGATGTGGCTGCTTGGATTCTGCTTGAACTTGCTATTTCCCTTTCAGGTGCTAGTAATTCACCCCTTATTTCAGTATGGGTACTTTTGTGTGGGACTGGATTCGTCTTGCTTTGCCTAGTCATTGGTCCTCCGATATTCAACTGGATGGATAAACGTTGTGCTGAGGGTGAGCCGGTTGATGAATTGTACGTCTGCGCTACACTTGGAGCCGTGTTGGCTGCAGGATTCATTACTGACACTATTGGTATTCATGCCCTATTCGGGGCTTTTGTGATTGGAGTACTTGTACCAAAGGAAGGGCCATTTTCTGGTGCTCTGGTGGTAAAAGTTGAGGATCTTGTATCCGGTCTATTCCTTCCGTTGTACTTCGTATCGAGTGGACTAAAAACAAATATAGCTACTATTCAAGGGGCACAATCATGGGGTCTTCTTGTTTTAGTCATATTTACATCGTGTTTTGGGAAGATCGTTGGCACTACTTTAGTCTCGCTCTTGTGCAAAATGCCTGTTCAGGAGTCCGTGATGCTTGGTTTCTTAATGAACACTAAAGGCCTAGTGGAGCTAATTGTCCTTAACATTGGAAAAGACAGAGGGGTATGTTTAATTTAGATCGATTAAAACTTTTATCGATTTTGAATTACTTCGTGTAAAATTTACTTTGTATGTTCAATTTTGCAGGTATTGAATGATCAAACATTTGCCATTATTGTTTTGATGGCACTCTTCACAACATTCATTACAACACCTATAGTAGTATCAGTGTACAAGCCAGCTAAACTGGCTATAACTGAATACAAGCACAGAACGATTGAGAGGAAAGACACGAGCAAACGACTCCGAATCTTGACCTGTTTCCATAGCACAAGGAGTCTTCCCACAATGATCAATCTCATTGAGGCTTCTCGTGGTACTGCAAAGAAAGGACTCCGCGTTTATGCAATGCACCTCATGGAGCTTTCTGAAAGGTCTTCAGCAATTCTAATGGTCCACAAGGCTAGAAAGAATGGACTGCCTTTTTGGAAAAAAAGAGAGGTTTCGGATTCTAACCAAATTGTTGTTGCTTTTGAGACTTTTGAGCATCTTAGTAAGGTTTCTATCCGACCTACAACTGCAATCTCTCCCATAAATAGCATGCACGAGGACATCATCGCCGGTGCTGAGGGAAAAAGGGTCGCCATGATAATTCTCCCATTCCATAAACGACAGAGGATCGATGGACATTTGGAAACCACAAGAGATGATCTTAGGCATGTGAACCGGAGAGTTCTTCAGCATGCACCTTGTTCAGTTGGTATCTTGGTAGACCGAGGACTCGGTGGTGCATCTCATGTATCTGCTAGCAATGTTGATTTTCAAGTAACCATCTTGTTCTTCGGGGGTCATGATGATCGTGAAGCACTTGCTTATGGTACGCGTATGGCAGAGCATCCTGGCATTAACTTACTCGTGGTTCGTTTCCTAGTGGACCCCGAGGTTGCTGGAGGGAGTGTCACCTTAGATATAGATCAAACTTATAGCCCCGAGGCTCAATCCAAGGATGAAGAGTTGCTTACCGACTTAAAACACAAAATTTCCAAGAATGATTCAATCAAATATGAAGAGAAGTTAGTAAAGGATGCAGCTGGGACTACAGAACTAATTCGTGCATATAAGCGATGTAATCTGTTTCTTGTTGGAAGAATGTCTGAGGGTCAAGTAGTATTAGCTTTGGACAAAAAGAGTGATTGTCCAGAATTAGGTCCTTTAGGTAACTTGTTAACTTGTCCCGAATTTTCAACTACAGCATCGGTTTTGGTGGTGCAACAGTATCAAACCGAGTTATCGCAAGATTCAATCAATTCCTTAAAGGATGGAGAGTTAACAGAAGGAAATAGTGATTCAGACTAAAAAATACTAGGTAGGTTCAAATGTTCGATAGTAAGTGAGAATACCGTTGATCCTCCTAGGGCGTGAATGGAGGTAACACGAAAAATAGGATAAAGTTGTAATCACAGTTAGTTTGTACAGTAACAGATAACTATTGGTTTATTAGAGTTTGTTCATTTTCCTTCTGCCTTTTGTGTTGTAACTAAAGCAGCAAATTCTTCAAGCTTCTTTGATGTCGTGTTGCTCTTATTCTCCAAAAACGTTTTGGTATTCGTATCGAATTTTCCTAAAATACACTATTTTTGGAGGGTCTGAAAATGCTACCGCCGAAATTTTTGAAGAGTCTGAGCCAAGTAAATTTCTGTTAGTAAAAATATCTTTTGGGCCTAATACACCATAAGGGGTGCTACCTAAGTGAGTAACTCTTTAGTTAATCTACCTTAAGGGGACGTTTGGTCACTGGTTAGAGTTATGGAAGTATTAGTTATGCAGGGTTTAGTTATGCAGGTATTAGTTATGCAGGGTTTAGTTATGCAGAGTTTAGTTATGCGAGTATTAATTATGTAGGTGTTATTTAGTTAGGTAGAGATTAAATTACATGAATTATTAACTATTGAATATTGATTTTAATATAAATTAATATATATTATTTACAAATAAAATAAAGCAAATAGAATAAATTCTCCCTTAAAAAAATAAAGAAAGGAATTTTCTCTATACTTAACTAGGAATTATGTGTTTTTTTTTTCTCTTTGTTTTTTTAATGTTTAAAGCTTATAAAAATAAAATACTATTGATATATTTCAAGTACATTATAATATCCTATTTTATATAATATAAATTTCTATCAATATGATGCATGTGTTGTTTGTACATTTTTAGTGTACCAAATATATAAATTATATATAAATTCACATTCTAAATAAAAAATTAATGCATGATAATTAAATATGTGGATATATTTAGTAATATATAATGCGAATATATATATATAATTAGCATATGTGCTATCAAAATTATACATTCCTATTCATAATATTAATAAATATTTACATTTTGATTTTTAAATGAAACAAATAAAAAGTCGTTTATACAAAAAGAAATAAGAAACAAAAATAGTTGTGAAAATAGAATAGTTATGTAAAGTTTTCAATAAAAAAAAATTAAAAAAAAATTAATAGGGATAAATGTGTAATTTATCTTTTTAATACATGTATAACTAATACTCACATAACTTATTCCACCTTCTATCCTGCATAACTTATACATAGATTCCATCATAAGTTATGTAGGTATTAATTATGTAGGATTACAAAAAAGACAATCAAACACCGTATAAAATTAATGCATGAATAACTTTTATACAATATTTAAAACTTATCAACCAAACATAGTATAAGTCATGTTGATTTTTCAACCTAATAAAAAACTTTTACCAAACATAGTAAAACTAATACAATGTTTTATACACAAATAAAATGCCTTCTTATATCGTAACCAAACGGCCCCTAAGTGCTAATTGAGTCTATTTAAGCATAATTAAGTGTTGGATGAATACTCTAACTCATCTAGAGGACGGTTAGGGTTAGTGAAATTATTTGCATATTTTGAAGAGGATTCTTGGCGATTAGTAATTTGAGTCGTGGTTACTGCAGACGATTCGATTCCGCAAGGAGAAAAGTTTCACACCTAAAGTACGTACTTCCCAGCACAGTCTAAACTAGTTGAGCTTTCAATACGAGTTCTGAACATTGATTGAAAAATAAAAAGTGATAAAAGAATAGTAAATGGATACTTATCCATGTAGCTAGGTACCCACTGGATAAAAAAATTATGACGGCTCAATTTCAAATAAGTTGAGAAGGAGGAAATCTCAAATCAAATTATTTGGAAGTAAGGAAACAATTATTCTTTATTTCACTCCAGGGGCGGCTCAACATAATTGGGGGCCTAAAGCGAAATTTCAATTTGCGGCCTAAAATATAAATACACTTCATATACGTATTTATTCAAAAAAAAAAAAAACACTATTAAGATGAAAATTATCAGTACTTAATATTGTTTTTTGAGTTACTAGTTTTAGGTAAGATTTTATCAACTCAACATTGAAAAACATCATTTAAGTGAGGCAATTATTATATGTATTGTTAACATAATGATATAAGTAATAAGTTGATAAATATTAAATAAAGATAAGAGTTAGAAGTTTAGAATCACATAATTTGACTCAAAAAGTTGATGACTTGGTATACCTCATTTTAATATGCTTAGAGTAATGCTTGAAACTAAAATTTAAAAAGAAATAAAAAAGAATTTGTAATTCACTTTGTTCAACATTTTTCACTGTTAATTCTTATTTTTAACAAAGTACAAAAGATGTTAAAGTGGATAAAATAATTTATTTTTAAAAAAAATTATACTTTTTATTATAAATAATTAATTTTTCTATAAAAAATTTAACACGTAATTTATTCTTGACAAAAATTTGGGGCCTCCAGAATTTGGGGGCCTAAGGCAAAGACCTTATTTTTGAAAGCATAGAGCCGGCCCTGTTTCACTCCACTTATGGAAAATGGCTATAATAGCCCCCATAACTAGTTTTTTTTTTATTAAAAAATAATAATAATCCATTAGTATCAAATAGAGTTAATGATATCTTTTTTGCGCAATTCGTCAAATAATGTCTATAGTAAGAAAAGAAAAGGAGTAAAGTGTTTAAATAATAATTAAATGTGGAAGTTGATTATAATATTGAACATGTGTATCATCGTAAAGAATATTTAGATGGCATGTTCTATATTATTCTAATTGAATTTCAAACATCGTCTTTATGTTCAAAAACAATGAACGAGTTTACATATGTATCTATTTTTGAAATCTCTACAAAGGATCGAATACGAAAGAAAGAATTTATTTTTCGAAATTCCAAAGCATGGTCATTAAAGAAAAAGAATACTGCAAATGTGCCAACATCGAGTGGTTCATAGATTGAAGGAACAAAAGAATAAACTCAAGGGTTCATCTTTTTTGCTCTGATTTTACCAAATTAAAATAAAAATAAAAAAGTCCCTCCTTTTTATTTAAGAAAGATATATTTTTATTAATTTCGAAAATAAAGATTTGGAAAAGGATGCTCTAAATTCGGCTTGTTGGTAAAGGGTCTTCGACGAATAATTATAAGTCGTTAAAAATGTCATTGACGAGCCAAATTTTAAGGGGAAACTCATCAGAATTTTTATCGAAAATTAATGGTTCTCTTATAGTAATAGTTCATTAATTTTCGAAAAATTATCTTTATTAGGAAACATTTTATCATTCAATTGAGATTTGTATATACAAATTTAAATTTTAATGTAAATATAGTATAAAAATTTAAAAACAATAATAATAATAATAACCAAAGTCAAGGAGGGCACCACGAACGGTGTCGAGCCGCTGCCAACTTTTTATTGAATATGATGAATTCAAACATTGATTAATAAATTGTCTTTTCAGTTTTATTCGGATTTGAGTCTTGCATATAAAAAATTTCATGATAGAATTATGCAATGTGAATTTAAAATAGTCAGACTTCAATATGAGTATCAAACACCAAATGAAAAAATTAAATTTATCAGTAATTAAAAATCTAAATATATTATTATTTCATAACTAAATTTTTATGTAATTAGTGTTTAAATTATTAATAATTGCATAATTTTAATCACCGATGAATCAATCGTTAATTGTCAAAAGGTGGACACGTTGTGTATGTGGAAATGTGTGTCTTTTGTCTGCAACAGTATAAGTCCACTTGACCTTTCCACTCATCAAAAGGGAATCAAATATTTAATTATTTGTATAATTTTACTCTAAATTATGATCAATTAATATAATTTAATATGAATCTAGGTAGATTATAGTGTACTAATTCCCTCTAATTCATTATTTCTTGTTTTTGTCACAAAAATCATTCAAATATTTGTTACACTAGAAAAATAATACTTACCTAAATGGAATCAATAAAGATCATTATCTTGAAAGATAATAAAGTTATTTTTGATAGCATATATATTTGAAAATTGTTTAATATGAAAATTTTCATTTTGTTAGTAATTACATACTCTTATACTAATGACATATTAGAAGAGATAAATTAGGAATGAATATACTTAAAACGAGAAAAGTAAGACTGAAATGGTTCGAACATATAAAAAAAGAGATACAAAATGCACCAACAAGAAAGTGTAAGAGGCTGGTTGTCGCAAGCTTTGGGAAAGGTAGAGGTAGCCGTAGAAACATTAGGGAGAAATGATTAGTCAGTACATGACGTATCTCTAGCTTGTTGAATACGGAAGACATAATATTATACCCCATTTGTTTCAATTTATTTGTTTTACTTTTTCCTTTAATTTATTTCAAAATGAATATTTTTTATTTATTTTTTGACAATTCTTTATTTCGATGAAAAATTATTCAGCTTTTTACATGATACATTTAAAATTTTATAAATAAAAACTATTTTAATATATTTTTCTTTTTACTTTCTTAAATTTGATATCAAATCAATATCGCAAAATTCTGTGTTTAATAGTAATAATATGTCAACATTTGGATCCTAATGACAAGATACTTTATAGGTACATGTCAGGTTACATAGTTAATAAATATGTATATATACCTATTATACTCATAATGTGTTCATTTTGTTTGTCTCTCCCTTGGTGGCTGCTGAAATCACAAATGCCCTAGTTCATTCTCTCTCAATTTCACTTTACACATACTTTCTGGGGTTTTAACACAAACCCCACCTGCAAAAATTATCAAAAAAGTTATAATTACATATCAAAAAAAAAAGAAGAAGTTTCCTCCTAGAAAGGTACTTTCTTGAATTTGTTTGTTCTCTATATTTGATTTTTGGAACATTTTGGCATAGATATTGAATTCTTGTTTCTGTTGTGTTATCTTGATTGGTTTTGCTTATTGAATAACTTGTTCACTTTGAAACTAGTTGGAACTTGGGTTAGCTTATTGAGCCATGTTTGTAAGATTTTTTGTTTTCAA